TTGTATAATAACATAACAATTTAATACATCATGACATTAATTTAGAGGTTTCCTATGGACTGGTGAACAGCACGTGTAAAAACAGCACAACACTCTGGATTCTCTGTGCAGAACAACAACAAGATTACTCCCAAACTCAAACTGAACCTTTCCATTCATTCCCTTAATAACTAAATCTGATTCACTGAAGTCAAACCCCAATAATCTGTTGTTTTCCTTGTCCTGGTTTGTGTTTGTGTTTGTCTTGTCGACCACTGTATGCTCGGTTTGTGGTCCTGTATCTTGCCCAAAGAATGAATAAGGACTGGAGGAGCTGGGAATCAAACCACCGACCCTCTGGAGGCAGGTTGCCCTAAGGTCGACGCAGGGTTTTTGGTCAAGGATATTGATTCTGGGCCAACAGGCTGAAATGCATGAATCACACTAAATCAAATGAAAAAACATATTTTGAATTTAGGACAGCAGACGAAGCACAAACTTTCTGTGTTTACGGTCGTCTACATCCGATTGTACACGCGAGCCCGACTCCTGGATAAATTATTGACAGGTTAATATCTGTTTTCTCAAATTAAAGCAGTTATAGGACAATATAACCATAAACTATCAACACTGACAGCGTGAGACACGGCGGCAGAGACAGGAGAGCAGAACATTAAAGAGAGGATCAGTGACCCTCTGGGAGAGGAACTCACAGGGTCCAGCATGAAGAAGTTGAGGCCGGCGCCGGTGCTGATGGCCACCAGGGTGGCGCTGCCGTACAGGGCGTAGCCGGCACATACGATAGTGTTGCCCGGCTGCAGGGCATCTTTCTCTGTGGGCTCCCCATCTGAGATCTGAACGAGGACAAACATCAAAACAGAAACGTGAATACCGGCTTCAAAATGTCTGCAGGTAACGAGGAACTACCTCTTAAGATATGAATGAGCAACATCAATTTAGGAGAAGACTTCAAATCAACGTGGAGATACATGAGGACGTGTAACATATAAGCAGAAGCTCAATATTCAGATCGTACAAACCCTGAAAATATCACAGTGATATAAAGACCTTGCTTGTTATGGGAACTGTTGGGTTCCTCTATAACTGTGTACGGTCTCAATCTTAATATGTAAAGTGCCTTGAGAGGATGTATATTATGATTTGGGACTAAACAAATGCATTTTGATTTTATATAAATAACAAGGAAAAAGAACCTGTGAATTTAAAGATATTATCTATTTAAAGTTGATTTGCATCACAGGCCTTTATGCTATAAACAGCTTCATACAGACTGTTCAGGTCAGTGTGAGGTGATTCTGTTAAAATAGTGAAGAGACAGAGACTCAAACTAAACAGGATGAAAATACCAATGAAACTCCAAATAAAACTCTTTCTCTGCAGCTGCAGTTTAATAAACTGAAACCTGGGTTAGTTGGACAACATCGCTCCCCTGTGTCTGCTCAGTGTAACTGCACTTTCCAGCTGAGTTTTCACACTATTATAACAAACAATGACTTCTTCAATGTGTATTCACGAATCACATCTTTGGGATCAACAATCTGTGACATCGTCTGTTCTCAACAACCAACGATGAGCGAGAGGAAAAACTCCCGAAGAAATATAATCATACAACCAGCTGACAACAACATTACAGGCAGTTACACAAACTACACAGCGTCTGAATAGTTATTTAGTTTGATCATCATGAGTTTATTGACCTGTTGATTAATTGTACAAGTTCAAAATGGGAGGAAAACAAACAAAAAAACATGATTTTCGATATTTGCTACGTCTTCTCTACGTTTATATAATTTTCTTTCAAACAAAAGGGAAAACTTTGATCTTATAATATTCAGTGACCGCCCTGTTTGTGAATCTTTGCTGAGGTCAGACTCACCCGTTTGTAAATGGCAAATATGGTGCCGATCGAAGCCAAGCAGTCGATGTTACTGGAGCCGTCCAGGGGGTCAAAACACACCACATACTTTCCCTGTGACACAATCAAGTCAAGACAAGACGTTAGAGAGTCACTGTGTGTGATATGATAGAGATAGAGAGAGAGAGAGAGTATGAAAGAGTGTGAGCGGTGGTTAAAGATCTCATTGGACGACTGGCGTTCATCACTCACCCTCTTGTCTTTGGGCGTGATGATGAGCTCCGAGTTCTCCTCAGACACCATGCAGCAGGTGCCGTAGGAGGCCTGCAGCATGTTGATGACCAGGTCGTTGGACAGCACGTCCAGCTTCTTCACGTCGTCCCCCGTCACGTTCACGGAGCCCGCCATGCCCTGCCTGCGTGGACCCATCAGCAGCCAAGCTTTAGTCTTGCACATTACAAGCTGGGCGAAACCCAAACCCTGAATTTTCATTTCAATCAAAATGGACAGAGCTCGACGAAGTCTTTGGGCGCTAATTGTCTTCAGTGTCAAACAATGTGGATCTGTGCTTGTTACATCATTTCAATGAGAGTTTAAGTTCCTGAAAAACGACCCGATCTTCATGAGTTGTCACAGTTTCATAACATTTTCGGTATAAATGCATTAATATCAGCGAGAGAATGAACTAAATCTGAGCTCAGTGACACTTTGATCCTTCAAGCAACACTTTACATGAAAGCCACTTCATCACTACCACCACGTGGCTGTAGAGGGCGCTGTTGCTCAGTTAGCGTTACACAGTGCTGCTTTAAGATTTGATGCAGTTCAGGCCCAAAGAAAACTACAGTTAATGGAGGAATCTGCTTTAATATATTCAGGTTTGATTCTGTCTCAACTTAAAGATATAATATGAAACTATTCTTCATTCAAATCTCTAAAAACAACTCGACCTGAGTTATATATTGACTTAAGTGATGTTCAAACCAGAGAAATTCACAAAGAAAAAATACTCTGATAGCCAGTTAGCTGTTTTCCTCTGCTTGTAATGGTCGCTCGTAATCAATAATCTTTTCTCATTTTATCTCCTGCTATAAAAAGTCAAAGCTCCAAAATCTTTTTACTAAGTTGGAAGTGTTGCACCTAAATCACACACAGTTCTCCATCCTGTTCCCAGCGGAGCAGCACGACTGAACATGCATCTCCAAACACTGATTCATATCAACCCTGCTGCCGCATTGTTCCACCTGAGAGTCGAGATCAGAACTGGAACAACAAGTTCTAAACCCCTGAACACAAAGCCAACCTCGCTCTCTGCTCCTAAATCTAGAGTGGGAGCGAACAACACGTCAAGCATCTGACCTGGACCAGCTGTTCTGCAGCGGACCTTGACCTCTGACCTCTTTGAGTTGGGATACAAGCAACTAGTCAATAAAGTATCGTCCAATGACTTCTTATAAAAGAACAACTGTGGGTTAAAGTGTTTGATTGTAGATTTATCCTCTTCTGTGAGTCAGTTCTATAATATACACATCAGTACTTACAGGTGGGCCAGGCCCGCCTTTCGCACAGCGGAGGAAATGGCTTTGATGGCCGTCAGCATGGCGTTGATGAGTTGGGTCAGCTCACCGGTCGCTCCTTTAGCCTGGCGACCGGTCTCCACGACAAACCGGGTCAGGGTCCATACGTCTGTGTCGAAGGCCGACTGGTCCGACATGCTGGTTCTTCTGTCCCTTCTGGTCGGGCAGCAGGTTGCGTGTTCGCCAAGCGGAGGACGGACAGTAAATGAGAAACCTCATTACCAGCCAAGTGCTTTTCATACCCAAGCCAGAGGATCTATTTGTGTGTGTGTGTGTGTGTGTGTGTATGTGTGTGTGCAACCACGTGGACGAGTGAGTGAGTGTGTGTGTGTGCATTTGGGGATGGGTGGGCGGGTGTCGGGTATCAGCTGCAGAGACCGACTCACTAAGACAAGAACTCATCGGCTCTTTTATCCATTCAGTCAGAAGGTTTGTAACACGTCAGACAACAGTGACACAGCAGCATTGTGGGTAACATTACCGCTTTTTACATTAAGTTAAGTTTTAACCACATTGTGACAACACAAGTACAACCTTCTGTCCACTGGATTCATGATTAGATAATCCCCTCGTTTGCCTCTGGACCTCCTGCAGGTTTTTAATTAATATTTTGTTCTTCAGGAGTTTGGATGTAGTGTCACATGTCGTCAGGTTTTTCTGAGCTAAATGACACGTTGGTTACAAACAGAGGGATGTGAGTTTGATATCGAGAGACTCAGTCGCTATGTTTTAGTGCAACAGCAGCTCAAGTTTGCTTTAAATGTCATTAGGGTTCTGTGAGCTTCCACTGACCTTTAGCTTAAAGGTCAACTCCACTGGGTGAACTGTCCTCCAACTGTTATCGACAGTCTGTCTTCAAACCTTTTCATTCTTAAAATTAAACTTCTTCTGAAAAGAAGCGAATCTTTTCTGTCCATCTGTAAACTCTGTCGCTTCAAAAAACACATTATATACAACACAGAATTATACTTTCAAATATTCCTACAAAATACTGGAGGCTGCATTTCTACGCTTCACATGAAAACAGAAGTAAAAAAAAACAAAACAAACTAAATATCAGCAACTAGAATTACCGCTCTGTGGTTGTATGTCTCCTCCAACCAGTGCAGTTTCTATCCACATACTTTTAGTTTTCTCCAAACTCATATAGTTCGTCACCGTGAACTTTGACCACTGAAATCTAATCAGTTCATCTTTGATTCCAAGTGTCAACTGGTCAAAATTGGAAGAAATTACCTTAAGTCTGATTTGAGATATCATGTGCAAGAGTCTGTGACCTTTGACCTTCCAAATCTAATCCGGTAATCTGCGTCCAAGTGAACAGTTCTTTAATTTATTCTCTCAGGGTGTTCACAAGGGGAAAAAAAACTTCTAGAACTTAGAAGACCTTCCCTCAAGATGTCCCTGAGATGTTCATCTTTGAGTTTAACTGAACATTTGAACCAGATTTAAAGAAACTCCTTCCAGGGGTTCTTGAGGTCATGTTCATTAGAATGGGACGGAGAGACAACCTGAGAAAAATGATGCCTCAGAGGAGAAATAAAAATAACAGCACATATAATTCAAAATGATTTCTCCTTCTTAGTCTCGTTTTAATTTATTGATCATCTCAAACAGTTTGCTCACACAGTAAAAAGGCTTCAGGGTTTGTTTGCATAGAGGTTATTGTATTTGGTCCTTCACATGTCGAGAATGTTCCTCGTATTAAAGGCACAGCTGGATGTAAACAGACGAGGACTTCTCTTTGGTTTTTTCTTCAAGTGCTGTTATTTGGCACATCTTTGCTCTTTAGTGGTTTGTGTGGAAAATGTGCGTTTAATGAGTGCGCCACAGTTTTCATGTTCTTCACTGAACCATCAGCTTTCTGCAAACAGAGCAGCAACATGAAAACCTTGTAACTCTAAGTGTCACAAAGAAAATGCCCTGACATTGAGAAACATTCTCAAATCCCATAACACACCATTCAAAACACATTTACATTAAGATTATTAAAAAGGACAACTTTCTCAGACAGATGGGAGATACAAGGTTCTTCTTTAAGCGGGACAGCGATGGTCACGAGTCGGTGCGGCCTCACTTCTTGGCGTGTTTCTGGCAGATGGCGATGAACTCCAGCACGTCCTCTGAGGAGCCGAGAGCCACGGGAGCCCGCTGGTGGATGCTCTCCGGCTGGATGTCCAGGATGTTCTCTAAGCCGGTGGAGGCCATGCCACCCGCCTGCTCTATGATGAAGGCCATGGGGTTGCATTCGTATAGCAGCCGCAGCTTTCAGGAAGAGAGGGGGAGTTTAGTTTTTAGTCCTGAAGACAAACTTTGAAAGGAAATTGAATTTGTATTAGTAGTTTTACGCTGCCCTGATATTTAACTGCTAGTAAAGGAGGGACAGAAACATTGAGACGCGTCAGATTTGACTGACGAATCAAGATATCTGCTTCTGAAAATGTAAATATTCAGTGATTGTTTGTTATTTTTCTTCTTTCCTTTGCTTTTATACTCTTTGAAATCTTCTTTGACATTTCTCAAACCTATTACAAGACAAATCCTCAGTGAGTTCATCTCACGTTTGGCTCTGTCTTGCAAACACTGGAAGGATGTGGAAAGTGAAGAAACAACATTGTGACACCGTCTTCTCTATGTTCTCATGTTACAAACAAAGAGTCTGAACAAAGAATTTTTCTGTTCATGGAACTTCCCCCAACAACACACTGAAAGTATCGATGTCACAGAGGGCGAAACTCTGAGTTCTGGTTCCTGAAAGATTCAAATACATGAATGTTTAAAACAAATACGCTCGTGGTCCCATTAAGTTCCAATCTTTTTTTGTGTGTGTGTAGTTTAGTGTGGCTTTATTGAATTCTAAGGAAACTGTTGGGCCTTGACAGAGATACGAGCTCTACCTAGAGCCATTCTGATTTTAAGATTCAGACTTTATTCGGTTTTAAAATATTAAATTCTGATGTTTGATGTGATACTGGCAGGAGCAGGAGGAAGCAGTTACAGGACCTCACCTTTCCCTTCGGACTCTTCACATTTCCCGGGTATAAAAAGATGCCTCCATACATCAGTGTTCGGTGAACGTCTGCCACCATGGAACCGATGTAGCGGGCACCATAGGGCTCAGTGCCATCCTGTGACGGTTTTAAAACACCGGATTAGTTATTTATGTAGATGTACCGTTTTATTTCTTAAAACACCGACACCTCCGGAATGACACTGAAAAAAGACATTGTGACGTCAGCGTTACCTCGGGGAACTTCTTCTTCTGCAGGTACTCTGTGACGGCGGGATCAAAGTACTTTGCATAGCCTTCGTTCAAGCTGTAAATCTTCCCTCGCTTCTTGATCTTCACGTCACGATCAACCAGGATAAATTCACCGATTGCCTGGTGAGCAGAGGGCAGAGATTGTTCCCCTCCACCTCATGTGCACTTAAAGATGTTGTGCCCTTGGTGACAGTCATGGAGAGAGCACTTACTGGGTCGAGCATGAAGCAGTTGACTCCCTGGCCGGTGGAGAGCACGACCATGGTGGCGCTGCCGTAGAGGGCGTAGCCAGCTGCCACAAGGTTTCTGCCGGGCTGCAGAGCGTCCTTCTCACACGGCTCATCGTCTGTGCTCTGAGAGGAATAACAATTTGCTTTCACTGCAGAGTCCTAGTGTTAACATTTCTCATTTCTGGAGTGTGAAGTGAGCTTGGAAAAGTGACAAAAGTAAAACCTGATGGAGGTTTAAAGTTAAAAGCTATTTCCTCTCCCTCTCTTTAGGTTCTTAAAAAACTGTGAAGTTGATCTTGATAAGAAAAACACTTTGGTTATTACCTTTTTGTAGATGGCAAAGATGGTGCCGATGGAGACGAGACAGTCGATGTTGGAGGAGCCGTCCAGAGGATCGAAGCACACGATGTATTTTCCCTGGAAGACGATAGTGCAAGAGAGTTGAATGGGCTTTTGTCTTTGGTGCAACAACTTGGCTGCAGTCGACACGATATCAAACCAGTATAGTGACACAGGAGAGAGAGAGAGAGAGAGAGAGAGAGAGAGAGGTGAAAGGTCGTGTCTGATCAGATTCAAATCATGTGTCTGAGCCTGATCCTGAGAGGATCCTCTCATTTGAATAACAAACATTAAAATTCAGCAGGAGAAATGTGGATTAGCCAGTTTCAGACAGGATAAATAAAAACAGGTTTTCTGAGCTCAGCGGCATCTTCAGAGAACACGACCGAGCGAGGAGCAGAGATTCTGTTTTAACATGTGAAGTCGATGCCCTCAGAGACACTCACCCTGGTTTCTGGCTCTATAATGATGACTTTGTCGTTCTCTTCAGACACCAGAATGCAGGAGGTGAACGACGACTTGATCATGTTGATGATCAGATCATTGGACAGGATGTCCAGCTTCTTCACCTGGTCTCCCGTCACGTTCGTGCTACCAGCAATGCCGTAACTGATAAAGTACAGAAAATAGAAAAAGTGAAAATATAATTTCAATCCTCTGAGTTTTAACAAACAAAAAGTTCAACGGCTCTGGAGTTTGAGATAAATTAAAAAAAATGCAACTGATGCATGACGCAGCATTTCCTCACAGCAGAGGTTGGGTAGTGATTGAAGGACGAATTAGATCAACAGCAGTTTCAGTATCAGTCTCTTCAGCTTCTAAAGTTTTGCACAAAAATAAAGTTCTCTGCTCATGTAGGTCACATGAGCACAGTGGTGGAGGAAGTCCTCAGACATTTTACTTTAGGGAAAGTACCACATTACAACACTACTCTAGTAAAGTCAGTACTTGCTTGAACTCCATCCCTAACTGTGTCCACTGTATAATTTGTTTACAAGCAGAAATGATAGAAATGCAATGATTTCTCTTACATGTGCTGATCGGATGGACTCTCGCCATGAGTTTGCACATGACTGACACCTCACACACAAGAAAAGTTATTGTTGTGGATGAAGAGTTTATACTCTACAAGTGGGCGTGGGGGTTGTCAGGTATGCGTTTCCTGATTGGCTCAGAACCATCCTGACTCTCCTGCTTCGGTCTGTGCCAACGTGGATGCAGCGGCTGAAACTCCACCGAGCAACACGTGTTTATCTCCGTTTCTGCCCGAGAACTAGAGCATCGAACTACCGACATCTCCCCTACTGTCCGGTGAGCGTGTGCGCACTCACAGGTGAGCGATCCCAGCTTTACGCACGGCGCTGGAGATGGCCTTCACCGCCGTGCACACGGAGTTCAGCAGCGTCGTCAGCTCCCCGGTGCCCTTCGCCTTCCGGCCCTCCTCCATGACGAACCGGGTCACGGTGACCACGTTGGTGTCGAAGGTTCCTCGGTCGGACATGTCGGCGGCTGGTCTCCTCCTGCAGTCTGTGCAGTAGGGGGGAAGCTGCGGAACTTTAATGCGCTGAAACGCGGAACTCGTTGGAGGGTGTGGGGACGCGAGGGCCAATCCAGAGCCGCAGCAGAGGCGTGGTCCCCGGCGGAGGAAACCGAACAAGAGCCGCTCTGTACAAACTGTACCGGTGATGAAATGACAGAGTCACTGAAACAAGGATGTGAGCAGAGTAATACACGCTGCGCACACCTGCATCCACAGAGTGGTTACACAAGACAGGTCGTGTACGTTTCTAGTGTGAATGAAGAGTTTCATAAAGTTTTATAGTCAAAATAGTGTCGGTTCATATTCCCCAAGGTCTTACACACTTTTCATCTTCCATGTCCATCCATTCGTCCCTCTATAGATCTGTCCATCTATCTATCTATCTATCTATCCATCCATCCATCCATCTATCTATCTATCCATCCATTCGTCCCTATATATATCTGTCTAACTAACTATCTATCTATTTATCCATGCGTCCCTCTATCTGTCCATTCGTCCCTCCCTCTCTCTCTCTATCTATATATCTATCTGTCCATCTGTCCAGCCATCATAATCAATGATAAAAAATAAAATCTTTTATATGAATGTCATTTTAACAAGTTTGTATTTGTATCTATACTGTATTTAAATCACTCTGAGCTGCATCTCTTGTATGAAAGGTGCTGAACAAATAAAGTTTATTATTAAAGTTTATTGATGCTGTTTGAACAAACCACCACAAGATGGAGGCCTCCACCTGGTTTGGGCCCTAATCTTCCCTCTGTGTGTTTTAATCTCAGAACGACCATTCATTTTATTAATTATAACTTTATTATTTTACATTTCTTTAACACTGTGGTTTTCACATTTCCATACATTTAAAAGACATTTAAAGAAAACTTAAAATGAACAAAAACACAGCTCTTATTGTGACAGGGAACCACAGAGACATGTTAACATCTCGTTCAGTAAATTTCTTGAGAAGAAAACTTTCAACATTTCTTTTTACTTCAGCCTTTAACTAGATCTTACACTTGCCTGTGCTTTTACAATAGTTATCACTTTTTCTCTTTTCTGTTTTGAAACATTTAATTTCTTGTTCTTTTTTTTAAATGTCTTTATCTTTTAACTGTAATTCTAAAATGTTCTTATATTTATATTACTTCAAGTCAGTTCTTTTATATGACTTTTTCTTTGTATTAACATTATTTTCTTTTTATTTAAATGTATGAAAGGTGCTAAAGAAATAATTATATCAATATGTATAATTAATTATATATTTATTATTATATTTATCATCATTATAATCATTATAATCATTATTGTTGTTGTTGTTGTTATTATTATTATTATATCAATGCGCCGAGAGATAAGGTTAGACGGACCTAGAACTATATTGTTTTGCGGAGGACAAACATTTGCGTTTGTTGCGTTTAAACGTCAGATAAGTCTCTTTTTTTTATAAAAAATACAACAGATAGATATAATGAAATCACTCAAGGATAACTACGAGTGTTCTCGTTTTATTTAACTTTAGCTTATTAGTGTTAAATGTGTCTGGTCACGTCTTCCTCACAAGTTCAATCACTAAAGTTAAAGCTAGCTTACTTGTTTACTTTTACAGGCTAACGCTAAGCTAGCCCTGCGCCATGTTTCCCTCTGGAGGACTTTAACTCTTCAACAGGAAGTCTCTAACGATCCTGCCCCCGGATAAGTGGGTCAAACCTGGCGGCAGGTAAATCTACACCTGCGCGTCTCCCGGTCCTTCCTCCGCACCGAGCTGCTCCGAGCGACCCCGGCCGCACTGCGCATGTCCGCCGGGGAGCAGCTCGCTGCAGAGGCGGACAAGTACAAAGAGGCTCCGGCTGCTGGTGGTGGAGGAGCTGCCGGGACGAGAGGAGCCGTGTGAGGAGTCTGTGGAGCCGTGAGAGGAGCCGTGAGGTGTCTGCCACCGGGCTGATGTTGAGTAGTTTCACACGCAAAGTTTTGAAAAGTTCCCTTCAAGAACAACCAGCCGAGGGGGAGAAGCTGCATTTCAAGTCCGAAAACAGACGCTCGCAGGCGGGTGAGTGAAACGCTGTCTCACCGCTGCTGATAAAACAACTTCAGATGCTCGATGCAGGATTTAAACTTTTTAAAAAGAAAAAAAAAAAAGCATGCATGAGTTTATTTAAAACATGTCGGAGCTGCCTGTGTCTCGTGTGTGCGTGTTGTGGGTCAGGTGGTCCTGCAGAGACCAGACCAGACAATCCCATGAAGCGCTGCTGGTTCAGCAGGATTATGGTTAAAGTCATCTGGTGTTTGTCGAATCTGCTCCTTCTGCTAATCTGCTGTGTGTGTGTGGGGGGGGGGGGGGGGGGGTTCTTTATATCTTTTCCCGCGAGCAAACAAAGCAAGTTCGCGCCAAGCAGGTGTCATGGAAATGTTTGAAGTAGCCCACATGCTGCAGTTATGGGATGAACTTTGACCTCCCAGGGAAGGAGGTCAAATAAACGAGGAAGGAGCATTATCCAATGTCTGCATGCGATAATATTCAAGATTCAGTACTTCCCTGAGCAACTTCTCCTCAGTCTGACGTTATATCACGTATCACGTGCAACATGTATTCATCATATTCATCATGTCACCTTGAAACACTGGAGTGTTCCCAGTATTTATATTATTCATCATACTTATCTACATCACTTCACTCAACGCTCTCGGCATCCAACGTGTGTTTACTCAGATTTTATTGAAAACTTTATTTTCTATTTTTACTATAAAGCTGCTCCTATTTCATTTTTTGTTAATCTTTATAATGGGCTGAATTTGATTTGAATCTTATTGGCATATAAACAGTTGTTTGGAACCCAGACATAAGCTGCATCCTTCAGAGGACTCGGTGTACGCAGCCCACTAACACTGCCTCCACATGTACTTTTGCCTGTTCGTTTGAGTTAAACTTTGTTACTCAAGCATTGAACATCTTGTCGCTTGCTGGTGCTGTTACCACTTTGAAAAAAGGTTTCGTCTCTGAAGCGCAATGAATGCTGGGAGAGAATGGGACGGGTAGGATCCACTTGTTGGAGTCTTTGTTTCTCGGGGGATGGAGGGACGCATTTGTCAGAGCCTTCAAAACGAGACAGTGTAGTTCGGTGTTCAGCTGCAGCCTCTGAAGGATGCAGTCCCCGAAATAAGAGACAGCAAGTGACACTAGCGCCTGTAGAGTGATAATCACTAGATAAGTGCAAAATTCTTAATAAGTTATACATCTGCTTTCCTGCCCTCGTTTAAAAATCTACTGAGCGGCCTGTGCTGGCTCTAGATTGTTCCAGGGGTCGACACCTATTCTGGAATCTGGTTGTTCTGTTCTTCGTGCTTTACTGGCTCTTTACGAGAAGAGGGGAATTTAGAAAGGCTGTTGTCTCGGTCGGAGGGGGTCCTTTAAAATCTGCAGGCCATTATTTTGTAAATTTCCCCGAGTGGCAGCAGAACACAACCAGTGATTTTTGTGATGCGGTTTGAAACCACCTTGTTTAACCGTCTCCTAACTTTTGAGGCTTGTGTTGGTGGCAGCTCCCTGAAAGATTCTGCTCCTGTAACGGTGACCCATCCCTCTCATGTGACCTGCTAATCCCTCGTCATGATATGATCCATACTGACTCATCTTTGCCTGGGATTTAACAGCTTAAACCAGTGTCACAAACATCCACGCCTCAAAATGAAGGTTATTCTCTCTTTCTGTCTTTCACCACGTTCACTTTCCTCACCTCCGCCCCGTAGCTTGAAGTACAGTACATTGCATGACTCCAAACAAAAGCCTCTTTATAGGCTCTGGAAAGAAACTGTCATCAACTTTGAAATATACGGTGTAATATGGTCCGTATCTGGTATCCAGTCTCCAAACTCTCTTTTCTTACTGTCAGAATTGGTGGCGGGGGAGCAGAGGCATTTAGTTGGGCTGTAGACCTTGATGGTGGTCCCTATTGTGCTGGTGAAGAGCTGGGGGGGTCAAACAGAGGGCTCTTCATCTTCTCAGGCTTTCCCACTTTTTTTGTAAAAAAAGATAAAGCACTGAATTGATACTTCAGGGTGGAAGAATATGAGCATTGTCACAGTGGTTTAATGAAATTCTTTGGCTTCCAGTGTGGCACTTTTGGCACATTCCCTGAATCCATTTTTCTTCACTTGCATATAATAAAACAGTGATTTTATCCTTCAGTCCCAACCTGTGGTTTCTTTGGTGAACTTTTGAATATTCTCTGTTGGAAAACGATTTTTTTTTTGCTGTGCTGGTGTTATTTTCTACTGGACAAAATATTAGAAATGCCCATCAGGGTAACACAATGCAGACGACCATAAAGTTGATTAAGTTTCTCTTGAACAAAACATTAAGTCTTCCCGACGATGGGTTTTGTTGTGGCTGTTGTTTTAGACTAAATTACCTGTAGTTAATAAAGCCAATAAAGTTGTCATAGGACTTGTTTTTGCCTTGAGTGCCTTTATGTAAACTTAAATCTCTCTAAGATGCTTATTTTTTCCTTGGCAGAGACGAAAAGGTTGTTATGGTCACTTTAACCAGCAGACTTGTCTTGTTTTGGGCTAATACAAACTATGCAGACACTGTCTTCAGTGTGTTGTCAGTCTATTCATCTGTCTGCACATTCTACTGAAAAGTGAAAAACAGTATTTACCATTTAAACGTCCTTCTGTGTGAGAGATGATTTGACCTTGTTGCCTAAAACTTCAATATGAGGAAAAACAACTTGTTATATTTGTGTCGGGAACAAGTTAGGTAAAGTATTCTGGTAATACGATATGTAAATGTTAGACTGCAGATGATTTGTATTGATGATGCATTCGGTGATTATTCTCTTGATTTGATAAAATCTCAGAAAAACAGTTCAACTTCCCAAAACCCATGATGAGGCCTCTTCAAAGCCATTTTCGGACTCCAGGAGATTTATCTGGAGTGTTTCTATCTTCAACTTATACGCCTCAGTATATATACATAGATGTCCAGTGTGTGGGAAGCTCACGTGCCTCTTGTTTATTCCACTGACATTTCTCTGAGCTCAGATTTGCTCTAACTGTAAAAAGCTTAAGACTTAAAT